GGGGGGGGGGGCAGGGACCCCTTTAATGTGCTTGGGCATATTTCGAAAAGTCGGAGGCTGTTTGTCCATAATAATTAACACATGCTCATCAGCTTGGGCTGAAACTGTCTAGAATTCTATTGCATATTTTAATTTGTTGCATATGTTTTCATATTTATTGCATTTTATTTTTGTTTTAGCTCTTATTTTGCTTAAAACTGGATTTCGCAATAAATATCTGGAATTTTGAAATTTTAAAAAGTAGAAACCAAAAGGGCAAAATAGATGTCAGTAGGAATCTGATTATTCAGTGTACACACAAGTTTGGTTTAGTTCATATATTAGCAATTCACAAAAGTACATTGAGAACTTTATCTTTAATGATATACATTTGCTCTCTCTGAAAATGGAATTATAAGTCGTTTATTCAATTTTGATTGAATTTATCACACCTAATATTTCCCGTTGTAGGGCGAAAAAAAACTATCGCCCTACAACAGGGTGAAAAAGTGACTTTATCAGCCTGTTTTTAAAACTTTATTTACTAAGTTTATTGTGTATTGAGTTGACAGAGGCGGTTTACTTCTAGCAATGGAAGTTTTCGATTTTGTTTATGTAGAAAACTTGAGCTCCAGACTCCTGAACTTCGGTGTAAAAATACTTTTATTTTAATCTATACAAACTTCAAAAAGGAAAAATCCCGGCAAAAATTGTTTCGCCCTTAATAATACCCATTACAATGACTTAAATAGATATTCCTTAAACTCAAATTTCCTCATTTAATGACAATTGTTGCATGTGACTTTTTTTCAAAGGAATGCTTTCTTTTAAACTTTCTTTTACTGCAAAATATCTTAAATAATCTTTATTTACCAATCTAAATCTAATTAGTTTATCATTTTTAAAATGAAATACTAAACCTTATTCCGGGTGGCGGGTCCAAGAAACTCACCTGACGCTTTTTAGAGATAAATTTGATTACTTTTTCTAACAAACTATGCCCCTCGCTTTAGGATAAAGTGGTGATTTTATACCTACTGCCCGAATGCCTCATTTACCTTTGTCTGACCTACTTCCGGTAGTTGGATTTTGAATTTTTGTCGCTCTTTGGAAGCCTTGAATAAAAGTAAGCAGATTGCACAAGTTTCGCGAAGTTTACAAATATTTTTGCATGTCTGGATTCGCTGTGGGTAGGGCTTTTTAAGAATGTATAACTTATCACATTTCGCGCACTTTTTGGTTTTGCACATTTTTTGCTTAATAAATATTTGTAATTTTACAAATTTGGTAATTTTTTCTGCAGAGTGTACCAAATGTTATAGATTTGTATTAAAATAAGGAAATGTAGACTTTTTAAGGATAAACCATGGAGATCACTCCTGAATAGGGTTAAAAATAATTTCTCACTTATTAATAAATATAATGCTTTCAAATATCTAGGTTTATAGCAATGCTTGGTTTAGTTTTCCTCTCGTTCCTTTGTTGTTTTGGTCCTGGGATGCTCATCAAGGTCAAATATTTCAAAATTCCCAAAAAAAGTTGAAAGTCATGATTTATGCAGTTAGCCCGCGATTTAAAAGCTTCGGTTTGTGTCTTAATTTCTTGCAGAGTTAGGCCCAATGAAAATAAACCCGACCCATGGTTTGTTTTAGCAAAATAAGGCTCAATGTTGAGTCTTGTTCTCATAAAAACCCGGAATTCGAAAATTCCAACCATAAAAAAGGCCCAACGACAGCTTAGACTTGGGTTGTATTAACTTGAACTTTTAAAATGGCAAGCCCAGATATTTCCAGCTGAGTTGCGATAAATTTTTCTCTATTTTCTCTTTTGGTTTTAAGAAAATTAACACCCTCAACCGAACTGAAACTTTTGTGGCAGATCGCTTAATCTTAAAATTCGCCGAAAACATTTCTAGACTTTTTCGAACACTCTCGAAAATTTTTTTTTGGCTCAACTTTTTTGTACCTCGCTTCCTTTCAACAGGGTTACCCACAAAGGATGATACTTCAAAGACGACTGTACGGAATTTGTTTAGTTCGTTTCTTGCATAAAGGTTCCTTCAAATATCAAGCTTCAAGACGTCGTATTTTAGAGTTTTAAGTCGTCTTTACAGGCTCATCCTTTGTGGTACTATACTACCCTGTAACAAGATATTCTGTTGTTAGACGATGGATAGATGCTACAAGTATCCTGCATTACATATAGCTTGTTATATACTCAACTGGTGTACTGTTGTTGTCAACCCAACAGTTTACTTCTTCAGAAACGAAAAATACAAGGTTAGTTTTTTTATTAAAGAGAGACAGTATACGCAAATTCACGTGACCCTCCATGCAAAGATAGAAAAAATGCCCGATTCTTGTCTTGAAACCTTTTCAGATCAAAAATGTCACTTTTCTTGGTTTCAAAAGGCTTTATTCTGAAAATTAAAATATGTTTTTTTGCGCAATAGAAATGCGCGTATAACGTTTGTAGAGAACTTCCAATTAAAAATAATATTTTTTTTAAAATTAGAAATATTGATATATAGTTCGTACTTGATATCAGAAGAAGCTTTAAGGGTACCGTTGTAAATCGGACATTTCCATCGTTTTACACCTTACTAAAAATTCATGTAAATTACTCCAATTTTTTAAATGATAAACGAAACTAAGCTTAAATATGTCTCAAACAGTGTTCAGATTTTAGAATCGAGTGATCCCAAAAAACACGAAAATATTTGTATTTAAATCCCTTAAAAGTGTTCAATTCACAACAGTTCCTTAAATTGAATGCTTTTTCTGATTAATTAATAATTACATATCCATGATTACAAAAAAATAATTATTTTCAACTGGGGTTTTCTACAAACGTGACTTGTGCATTTCCTACTTCAAAACAACTGAAGAATTAAACTCAATTAAAGATGGACAATTATTTCTCAGGTTCAGGTTTCCAGACCTGTACTGTTTAGATTTTGAATCTGTTTTGCCTGCTTATAAATGGAGGGTCACTCAAATTACAATTCGACAGTTCCTTTAATGGTTTCTTTTTATGACACTACATGGGCAGCCGTAGTACATTTGAATTTCCGAGCCGGGTCAACCTTTCCGGTCCCAGTTTGTACTGTACCTAGCTCTATGGACAGGACTAACCGGTACAACAAGGTTGACGCTTTCAGACTTTATGCCTCATATAGGTTCAATTTACTTTTACTAAAGGGGCGGAGGTGCGTGACTATCATTATGACTTACTTTATCGTAATGAACGTGCAATAAAGTAATCATCGTGCTAAAAAATTAAATTAGCTGTACATTATAGCACGTGTGCTTTAAATTTTCGATTAGTTCCCGGATTTTCTCCAAAAAAAATTAAGATATTTCCAAAAAAATTTCAATTGAAATAAAAGTAAATTTGAAATCAACTTTATATTTTGACTTCTGCTTTGTTTCAAACTTTCAAAGTTTATTTGATCTAGAAACATAAAATTACGTATAACACTATTATTTTGGCACGACGTGCTAAAAAGTTTTTGGACTTAAATTTTCTCTATATCTGAAAGGTTCTCGCCTTTTTAGACTATATTTTGGCCCTCCCTAAACTCGGGACAAAATTAAATCTAAAAAGACTTCAAAATTTACAGAATACTCAAAAGACATCAAAAAGACCTGGTCTTTACTGAACTCTATTATATCTTCTAAGAAAAAAAGTCATTCAGTTCCTGATAAAAATAAAAAGTCTCTTATATCTAAATAATTCATTAAATATCAACAAGAATAAGCGAGAAATAAAAAGTTGACCAATTTCAATTTGTAAAACAAATCAGTAAATCTTTTAGAAATGTTCACTGTTCAGGACCTGAATCCGGATGTTTATTTTCAGGGCGATCTGGATTCGGATCCGAATCAATATGAAATAGATCCTGAGCATCAGTGAGCACTGCCTAAAACCTACCTAAAAGCTTTGTTTAGGTTTTCATAGCTAAATTTATCCACAGCATCTCCAATAACAACACATGTAGGGTCATCTAAANTACTCCCTCACCTCCTCCTTACCTTTTACCTGATTTATTATCATTCTTATGTTTAAAATGTACAATGTACATTGTTTTTATCTGCAATTCTCATTCGTTTATAGTGGGCCAACCAATTAAAACAACCTACTCTGGTTAGGCGGGTCCAAACTACATAGTAAATTGTGATTTTTTATTTGTATTATCTCGTGCTTTGTAGTTGAATAAAAATATGAAATATGAACCTTCTTGATAAAGAGAAAATTACTGTCCAAACACTGGGAACCAAAATAACAATGTTATAAATAGTTTTTTTAGGCTGCATTGAAGAATTTTAAGATGATTGTTTTCAATCTTTTCACTAAAGGTAAAGGAATTGAGTTTTGCCACAAACTTTTATTTTCTAATCACCGTATCTTTGGAACCCGATGCTGTAGACCTTTGATATTTCAAACTATGAATTATGTTAGATCAAATAATCATAGTTTGAAATATCAAAGGTTAATATCTTTAGTTAGGAGAAATATAGGGATTAGACTTTTTGAATTTGTGGCAAAAACTCAGTTCCTTTTTTTGTCAGGGTTGATTCAACTATCCACTAATTAAATGGGATTTAATCTGGCATAGAAAAAATAAAAAATAAACATTATGCTTGGTTTAACTCGTGAGACCTTATTTTGTTTTGCTGTATAGCAATTTCTATTTAGAAAAGATCTTTAACCGATATCGGTAAATAAAAACGTCAAGAAATACTCTTTACTATTTTTCTAATCATTTTTTGAGACTTTCTTATCTGGCCCTAATTGTGTTAAAGGATCAGTTTTTTACAAAAATAATTCTTTAGTAGTGACAACGAAAGCAGTTTTTAGTTCAGTGAATCCCAGATTTATGAATACATAGCAAGAGTTTTGTATTATGTATAATTCTAAAGAAACTTCTTTTTATTTTTAATTCAAGGTCAATTAAAAGCCCTGATTTTTCCGCGGCATTTGATCTTGAATATGTAATACGACATTATAAAAACTCTTGCTATGTATTCATATTTCTGGGATTACCTGTAGAAAAACACCCTAGTCGATATGGGCTGCTTGCTGTCAAAATAAAATCATTTTCGTTAATAATGCACACATAATCTTTCCTCTCTATCTTTCTCTGGTTTAACAGACAAAATAATAATTTTCAAGTTTTCATTAAAATTCACCCCCCCCCCTCCCTCTTGAATGGGGGGTTTCACTGTTATCTAAATTTTAATTGAGCCTCCTATTAAATAAGAGCATTACTAATCCACAAGGGAACCATTTAAATCCTTAATCAATCAATAATATGGAGGATAACATCGTTTTTCTATCTTGAACAGTGTTTAATACTAATCATTTTTCAATTATTTCTAATGCGAACATTTCGCAAGTCACTTTTGCAAAGAAACACTTAAAAAAATACTGTTGTGAATCGGACATGGCACTCTATCAATGGAGGCTCAATACAAAATTACTTCACCAGTCCCTTAAACATGAATGAGGTTTAAAAACCTTGAACGTTAGTATTGATCCAGCAATATTGACAAATCACAGATAACATATTATTATTTTTTTACAACAGATATGAATAAACGTTATACAGGGTTTCCAAACTCTACAAAGGATTATACATTACAAATACCTATTTATTGAAGGGTCTAAAGATTTATTTAGAATATTGAACTATACGTTTTAGCCAAAAAAAATATTACAGTGTGAACTAACGGATTTTTTTATGAACAATGGTGTTGTTCAGAAAAGAAAATGAACGAAAGACGAGCGACTTGAATTGTTTAGAGGAATAAAACAACTATTGTTAGAATAAAATTGTTCGAATTCACTTGAAAAAACGATAGTTAATTACTGAAAATAGAAAATGAAAAACAATTTTGAGAGCAAACGAAATAATTTTTTTGAACCATTAAAAAAAACTGAACGAGCATGGTTCAGTTACGAACAATGAACAAACTAAATTATAAAAAGCCTAAAGCGCCCATCTCTAGTTTATTCTAGGGCTGGGCAAGTTCAGACTGTTTCAAACCAAGCCGGTCGCTAAGGGTTAGTTTAAATGGCAAACCGTTACTAATTTTTCAAGTGGCTTTCAAGAACTTTCATTGTCATGTGATACAGACGGTAATCACGTGACCAGTATACTGCACTGCAATTTGCTGAATTTCTGGTGACGTAATACGGACTATAAGGACTATATGTAATAATATTATCAATTATATCTATTAAAAATGCAAAATGAAAAATTATAACAGGAGCAAACCTGAGATTCTCAGGCTCCTGTGGGATATCGTCGTTTTCAGATTGGTTGCGTATTTGTTGAATATTATCTGTTTAATACTTTAACTTTTGTACAAAATTGCATAAATATATGAATTTTCGTTTAAATTTGACACAGTTTTATATCAATTTCTCGAGACAGGAACATCAGATAGATGTCTTTTATGTCTCGTTTAACGCCTGAGATTTTCAGAATTTATTTTATACCTTTTTCATTTTTCCCTTACATTCCCTTTAATGCAGAAAAACAAAATAAAGAAAGTCAATGTTGTTGTTTTTAATTTTAATTTTTAGTTATTTTTGTTTGTGAAGAGACTTAAAATTAACTGTTATCGAAATTAAGAAAAAATTAAGAAATCTGATCCTGTTATACGTAACCCTGTAAATGTCTGATAACAAATAAACGCTGGTTTATGTAAATACATTATTTATTGTATCTATTTAAAGACTGCTGGGTCGCCATTGTAAGGGATAGAATATAATAAATTATTATTATGATGATTAGTATTTTCAATTTATATTGTTAACTCAAAGTAAATCTGTGTTCTATTATTCTTGATTGAAGAAACTGTCAAGAAACGCCCTATTTAGAAAGAAAAAAATGCATGTCCGATTTATAACGGTACCACTAAAACTTTTTATTTCTCAATAATATGGAAAATATCGCCATTTTTTCTTCAGATAATTAAGTTATAGCCCAAGGGCTTTCCAAAAATGTAACACATTTTATAGATTTGTATCACTAAAAGGAAAAAGAGAGGTGGGGGCGGGGAGTCGAAGAGTCACTGGGAAATGCATCATGCAGTTAAGGCTAGGCACATTCCAACTTGTTCAAGCCGTTTCGTTAACGCTTAGTTCCAACCGTTTAGTCAAAGTATAGATGTAAAGTACATTTACACAATTTACATTTACATGTCTTGCAGGCCCCGTCTTGAACATTGATGCAACTTTTCACACTTGCCGGATGTTAATGGGACTGAGCAGGAATATTTCGAAAATTGTGAGTGGTGTGCGGCATTCTTAGATAGTTGCGCAAGCGACAAGAGAAACAAACAAATTAATTAAAGAATATTTTAAAATATAAACTATATACAAATGTGGCGAAAGATAATCGATGACTATATGTTGTAATATCTGAATGATTTGTTTGAAATTAAATTGATTTTTTACGGTCTAAGTCGTATGTTGCAATTTTTTGAATTTGTATGGCCGCTAAGTTATTCGGTATGAGACGTTTTTAACAATTTTCTTCTTATAGACGCAACAGATAGAAGTAAGATTAGTAGCGATCAAAAGCGCTTTTTTATCGCACTAAGCCTATACCCCCTTTCATTTTTCGCGAACACTCCTTTTAAACAGATCCTTTACAGTCCCTTTAAGTGCGTAAACCAACTATATCCTGAATCACACAGTTGTTGATTTAGGAACTAGAAATGAGAAGGGACAAGAGAGAGTTCAAACCTTTCAAGCTGTTCATTTTACAAGCAATGATTCATCATCTGTTAAAAAACAATCAGGTTAAAGGAGTTTTTGCCACAACCTCAAATTTTCTAATCCCTATATCTTTGAAACCTTATGGCGTATAACTTTATTACTTCAAACTTTGATAATTTGATCTAACAGAATTGATATTTTGTAAATATATAAGGTCTACGATGTTTGATTGCAAAGATATAGGGTCTATAAAATCAGCGTTTGTGGCAAAGACTCAAATCCTTTAGGCAAAAGTTTTGTTAAACTTTGCTGTTAATGCACACCTTTTGGACCCAATATGCATAGTCCATACTTTTTAACAAATTCAAGACATTTTTGCTTTTGGGAGCTTTAAAAAAGTCCAATTAGAATTAAGCTTTTATGTTGGTGTACTGGAATGATTAAAAACTATTGGCTCCCAATTATTTTGAACGATATGCTATAAATCTTTAAAAAAATCATTTCTGATAGTTTAAGATACAAACTATATAAATGTTAATGCTACTTTAGTTTTTAATCCTGTTTTAGGTGGTGAATAAGTAGGAAATGGAATTGGATCGAAAACCCTTTAATATGTGTAAATACTTTCTACATAATCAAATATTATATTTGTTTCAATGAATAAATTTTCATGCACTTTTTTAAGAAATTATTTAAGAGCAAGATTCACGATTCTAAAAGATAATTTTTAATATGCAAATACGCATTTTTTTCGTGTTGGGTAAACCTGCACTTCTAGGTTTAAAATGCGTAAAATTCACTTTGAAGCGTATATACCGCGGAATAAAAAGTGCAGTATATGTTATTAAATCTTTCACATAAACAAAGTCAAAAGTAAATTTGTGTAAACCTAACGCCTCATCAATTCTCAAGATCAAACAGAACTAATGGGGGGGGAGGCGTTTTAAATGTAAATAATCTTTGTGTAACGGGGTCAAAAATAAAAAATTGTTTAAAACCTAAACTATTTCACGAAACCATGAGATTAGACTTTTTTGAAAAATTGAAGAAAAAATGGTAAATCATGATTTGACATTTGAAATAAAATAAACCCCTGCACTCGATACATATATAAATGAGGCGGTATATCAGGCTCTAAATAAACAGAGGAGTGGAGGAGAGAGGGGGGGGGAGTCCCCAGGTATAATTATACTGTCAGTTGACCTTAGGACAACGTTTTAAATTCTACAGAAAAAAAGGCCGGTTTTTAAGATTGTAAATTTTTTCTCCTATTTTAGTGTTTCCAATTAATAACTTGGAATGCAATCTAAAAAGACGACTGTAAAACTCAAGTTTATGATTTTAAATAGTTCAAAAAACATAAAATACAGCAATTGCAAAAATTTTGTTTAAAGGCTAGTCTCATGGTGAACCTGTCTTTTTAAAGATCTATTAAAGAAAATTTTTCCTTTTAAAAATCTAGTCAATTAAAACCTCCTCGTTAAAGATCTAGTCTATTGAAACCTCCTCTTTAAAGATCTAATCTATTGAAAACCTCTCTTTAAAGATCTAGTCTGGTGAAATCTTCTTTTTAAAGATCTAGTCTATTCTTTTCTTTAAAGATCTATTGTAATGAAACCTTCTCTTTAAAGATCTAGTCTATTCTTTTCTTTAAAGATCTATTGTAATGAAACCCTCTCTTTAAAGATCTAGTCAATTGAAACCTCCTCTTTAAAGATCTAATCTATTTAAAACCTCTCTTTAAAGATCTAGTCTGGTGAAATCTTCTTTTTAAAGATCTAGTCTATTCTTTTCTTTAAAGATCTATTGTAACGAAACCTTCACTTTAAAGATCTAGTCTATTGGAACCTCCCGTTTAAAGATCTAGTCTATTGGAACCTTCTCTTTAAAGATCTAGTCTATTGGAACTTTCTCTTTAAAGATCTAGTCTACTAAAACCTGTTCTTCAAATATCTATTCTATAAAAAACCTTCTTTTTGAAGATCAAGTCTACTGAAACCTTCTCTTTAAAGATTGAGTCTTTTTAAACCTTCTCATTAAAGATCTGGTGTAGTAAAGCCTATTCTTTAAATATCTAATCTACTAAAACCTGCTCTTTAAAGATCTAGTCTATTGAAACCTTCTCTTTAAAGATCTAGTGTAATGAAATCTTCTTTTGGAAGATTTAGTCTATTGAAACCTTCTCTTAAAATATCGCGTCTAGTAAAACCTTCTCTTTAAAGATCTAGTCTATTGAAACCTTCTCTTTAAAGATCTTGTCTAGTGAAACCTTCTCTTTGAAGATCTAGTTTATTGAAACCTTCTCTTTAAAGATCTAGTCTAGTAAAACTTTCTCTTTAAAGATCTTGTCTAGTGAAACCCTCTCTTTAGAGATAAAGTCTAGTAAAACCTTCTCTTTTAAGATCTAGTTTATTGAAACCTTCTCTTAAAAATCTAGTCTAGTGTGGTAAAACCTTCTCTGTAAAGATCCAGTCTATTGAAACCTTCTCTTTTTAAAAATTTAGTCTATTGAAACCGATTGAAACCTTCTCTTTAAAGATCTAGTTCAGCAAAACCTGTTCTCTAAAGATCTAGTCTATTGAAAGCTTCTCTTTAAAGATCTAATCTACTAAAACTTCTTCTTTAAAAATCTGTCAGCTAGAAAACCTTCTCTGTGAATAACTAGTGTAGCAAACCCCTAATGTTTAGAAAAAATGATTCCTGATGAAGCCAAATTTGCTGCCGGAATTATCTGTGCTGTATTCTCTGTACTTGGTTGGTTGAATTTAGAAATTACAGGGTTACCCACAAAGAATGAAAATAAAAAGACGATCTGAATCAGTTAAAATATTACGGTCGTAATGTTAAATTTTTACTTATGCCTTGTACAGAGTATTTTAATGGCATATTTAATGATTTTGCAAAGGAATCAACACTTGTAAAGCTGCAGGGAGTCATGAATAAAAAGAAATAGACAGTAAGCATTCCCTACAGTCGTCTCTACGGTATCATCCATTTTGAGTAGCACTGTAGATTTATAATCAAATAAAACCCAAAACACACAGAAAAAATAAAAAATAAAGGTTTGTTAACTTTGAAAAAAAGTGTAAACCCGCCATTTTGTTTTACTGTACGTCAGCGTACTTCGTACATTTGTGGTATATAAATTTCGAGGCCCTGGAATTTCTTTTACAAATCAGTTATATTACGTTAGAAACTTCAAAAAATGATGAATTTACTTCACCTTGGTTTATTTCAAGGTTTATTTTACAAATTCAAAAAGAAGAACGTAACAGATTGTCCAGGGAACATATACTGTATTGTTGTAATGTACTGCGTAAAATGTGTAAACATTTACAAGAAATGTACACTTTCCAGGCCCAAGGAGAATCTTATTTGTCCTCTTTTTATTTTCTACTCTGTGGCTAAACCAATTTTGCTTGTACCAACATCTTTATGACACTTTTTGATTTTAGATATATCCATAAAACTTTTAACAATATTTCTTATTCTTTTTGATTTTAGATATATCCAATATCCATAAAACTTAACAATATTTTTAATTCTTTTTGATGAGTTTAGATTTATCCATAAAACTTTTAACAAATTTTTTATTCTTTTTGATTTTAGATATACCCATAAAACTTTTAACAAATTTTTTATTCTTTTTGATTTTAGACATCCATAAAATTTTTAACAATGTTTCTTATTTTTTTGATTTTGGATATCTCAATAAAACTTTTAACAATATTTTTTATTGTTTTTGATTTTAGATATATCCATTAAACTTTTAACAATATTTCTTATTCTTTTTAATTTTAGACATATCCATAACATTTTTAACAATATTTCTTATTCTTTTTAATTTTAGATATATCCATAAAACTTTTAACAATATTTTTTATTCTTTTTGATTTTAGATATATCCATAAAACTTTTAACAAATTTTTAATTCTTTTTGATTTTAGATATATCCATAAAACTTTTTAAAATTTTTTTTATTCTTTTTGATTTTAGATATATCCATACAACTTTTAACAAATTTTATATTCTTTTTGATTTTAGATATCCATACAACTTTTTACAATATTTTTATGGTTTTTAATCTTAGATATACCAATTAAACTTTTAACAATATTTTTTTATTCTTTTTGATTTCAGATGACTTTGAGCCATAATCATTAATTAATTTTACATTGATTTTTAGGAACAGTTTTAAACTCAGTATCAATGGTTATCTTACTTAGGTAGATTTTAAGTTGAATTTTTTTAATGGATTTAGATTTTCTGTTCATTCAAAAGTTCTCAATTCATCTTATACAGTTATAACCAGAAAACTCAGAAACAGGAAGACTACTTTTAAAATCAAACAACATAAAATACACTTAATGAATTGCTAAACTGCAGTCTTTCTATTTCAGAGTCATCTGGTTTTCACTGTGCATGCAGTTTAAAATCAATGATGTTATTATGTTAATGTTATAAATTTGAAAAAAAAGGTTCTTCAGATAAAAATCTTATTAAAAGTTTTTTAATGCATTTAAAAATGAGTAAATAAAAACTTAAAATTAATTATTTACTGAAAAGACATGATATTTTTAGATTAAAAAATGTAAAATATTTTTAGAGATCCCAAGCTCCGATCCCACCCTACAACAATCCTTGTAATATCTCTCTCCTGCTCAGATCTTGTTTACAGCTCCTTTATCCTACCTCTTCTTGCAGTACACTACCTAGATTGCTGGTAGGTCTTGCAGTACACTACCTAGACTAGGATGGTAGGTCTTGCAGTACACTACCTAGATTAGACTGGTAGGTTTTTCAGTACATTACCTAGACTAGGCTGGTAGGTCTTGCAGTACACTACCTAGACTGCTGGTAGGTCTTGCAGTACACTACCTAGACTAGACTGGTAGGTCTCGCAGTACACTACCTAGACTAGGTTGGTAGGTCTTGCAGTACACAAAGGAAAATACAGGGATAGGGCAGATTTATCAGAAAATTACATTTTGATTTAATTTTGTATTTTTCAGGTTTTGCTTCCCCGGTTCAACATTGTGTTTTATTATGCCATTCGCTTTCTTCTGGAACCATGGAAATCTTTTAAACATCCAGGTCAAGTGTCGAATAGGAAGACGACTGTTAGGCACAAGTTAGGGCTTATAAATAATCTAATGAACACATAACACAACAATTCTGAGCATTAGACCCAGAGAATAGAATAAAGGGAAAGGAAATGGCGCTGGTCTGTCATGAGCACTGCTTTGCAGACAAGTTCGGTATTCCTTACACACGCTCTTTTGGTACAGACACACAACATGACCACAGTCAATGAAATTGCAGAACAATGTTGTCAATTATAATTAAACTTGAATAAAGAGTAGTTTATTGTAAACTTTAATCAAATTAGATTCTTTCCATGAAAATTTAGCTTTATAGTGTTGACTTAAATATGTGAAAAATATATTACATGCATATTAAACTTATTTTTAAGTAAACAATTAACAATTAACAAATGTACTCTCCTCGACTGTACAAATACCGAGATTCTTACGTTCTGTATAATACCTACAGTACACACCTTTGGTTCGGTAAACTTTACACACACTCTTTTGGTACACCCCCACACACATGACGTTTCCGCCCCCTGAGTAGACCATTTTCACTAGGAGTTTTTTTAGGATATCAGTCAAATTATTTGCTTTTGGGGATCCAATCTGATTAGGTTTTATCAAAGAGAATATACATTAGAGGGGAATTTAGACAATCTCTCGGTATGAATTTTTTCAGTCCCTTTCAGCCTGAATGGGAGTTCAAAGTGTACAAATCATGTACATGTTCACAAATTATATGCAGTAGAGTACATTAATACAGTATGTTCCCTAGACTATCCATTTCAATTTCAAATTTTTTAAAGCTGTTAAATAAACTTTATAATGAACTAGGTCAATAAAAAACATCATTTGATTTATAGTTATAACGGAAAAACATCGTTAGTAAAGTGAAAGGCATAGAGTCTATGTGAAATGATCATTGGTCAATTATGAAACCAGCCTATTTCGTAATTTGGTTCTCTTTTAATATTAATTTTAGATTTTCTATAAAATGATATTCCAGGGCCCAAAAGGTTATATAGCACAAATATGTGAAGTACACCTGCAGTATGGAAACAGTCCAACAAAATGGCCGTTTTACACTTTTTCTAGTAAATTCCCCTCTATATATTCTATTCTCTTTGGGTTTTATTCACACTTTTTTAGAACTTTCTAAAGGCTCCACAAAACTATTTCCAAACTGTTTGCTCTAATAATATGTAAAGTCGTGCTAAAGGTTACAAGCGATTTTTCAAAATATTTTTATTTTGTTATAAAAATATATATTACAAAATATATTTTTGGAGGTTGTTTTGAGCCGAAAATCTTACATGATACCCATCATGCACTACTTTCATACATGTGCTTTTATGACACCATTTCTAATAAAAACAATGGTTTATCTTTCTTTACAATTAAAATAAAGAACTCATTACAAAAATCCAATATTTCTTGACATTAGTCCTCTTTAGGCAGCTTTGGCAGTAAATAGATGGGCTGCTGTATGCACAAATTTCAGGTTTTATTTAAAAATATGTTTTTACTGTAATATAATCGGGTTAACGGATAAATTAAATACATGGTATCCCAATATAAGAATATAATCGGGTTTACAGATAAATTAAATACAGGGTATCCCAATATAAGAATATAATCGGGTTTACAGATAAATTAAATACATGGTATCCCAATATAAGAATATAATTGGGTTTACAGATAAATTAAATACAGGGTATCCCAATATAAGAGTATAATCTGGTTTACAGATAAATAAAATACAGGGTATCCCAATATAAGAGTATAATTGGGTTTACAGATAAATTAAATACAGAGTATCCCAATAAACATTGGAATTAAGTGAAGAATTTTTATTGTCCTTGAATTATACAAGGCATAATTCCGAGACACCAGCACTACAAATAATCCAGTTTAAAAATTTCGAATAAAAACATCCCGTCTTGGGATTTACAAAACGTGGTCTAACATATTTGTTCTTTCAAAATTGACAAGGATATTTATAAATTGGCCAAGATTCCAATTTAACAAATAAAATCGAAATCGTCAAAATATCTCTCTCAATTTTTCGACACAACGAAATTAACCTTAATTGACGTAAAAAATCTACAAAGAAAAACATTTGTCCTAATTAATTGACCCAGGCTATATATCGTAGATTAATACAAATTTACTTGTACCAAACCTTGTCCGTATTCCAAATAAAAAAAAATATTTTAATTATCAAAATCAACTTTGAATACACAACTCAAATATTAGATCTTTTTGATTTATCAAACTGTACAAAAAATCCGATCATTGTAAATTGAAACTTGGTCAACTACAAGTTAATTTACATTGAGAACTAAATCTAAAGTCTACATCCAAGAAAAATAATTGAAGGCAAAAACTGACTTTTTGTACGTAGGAATTATGTAGCTCTGTGTGCATACAGAAATATATGCAAAAAGTACATTTCAGTTTCTCCCATGTTCAGATTTAAAGATAGAGCCTTTAAAACATCATTAAATTTTCTTACAATCATGAGAAACAGATTTAGTAATATGTTTATTAAATGCTCTTGCTGGTTGATTGTTTTCTAATAATTTCTACGCGTAAAATCGTTACAGAATTGTTAAGATTATGACCTTTTTAAGCTAAAAATGGGAAAAACAATTTTTATCTTAGTTCTCCTTCAAAATCCCATAAAGTTATATGCTGATCGAAATGGTGAATTTGTTATCATAGAAGATAATTTACAAACGTTTTGAAAATGCTAGCACTAAAGTGGACCATAAGAAAAGCTAAAATGTGCTTTTTAAGCGTATTTCTCTTTATGCGCTTAAAGCTATATGACCTACTGTAAACAGATGCATTGGTGATAAAAGCTGTTATAGAACTCTCTCTCTTCGATGTGAAAACCGTTAGTCGCAAAAATATATATTTCTAACCTAAAACAAGGAAGATTTAATTACAATCTTTTAGGAGTTATAAAATGCGAGTATATTTTGATAAAAAATAGCAAATGATTGAATTTAAGAAATAAGAAATACAAATGACAAGAGATACATGTTTAAGGTTGCTGAATGAGCGGGGTATGTTTTATAAACTGATAAGTTGATACTATGGAAGCAAAGTTTCGAACATTGTTTGTTACTAATATTATGATTATATATGGAAGGGTAACTTACTAGTTGGCCATTACACATTCAGAGATAGGGGTGATCGATTGAAGACTAAAACATAATTGGCTTCTGAAAATAATTGCTTGTTTACAAAAATAAAGATTGTTTTCACTTGATTTTTAACTTATTTCACTTTAACATGTGCTTGTTTTGGTATACAATCGAGTATCGGATTCGGAGAAGGGCCGGGGGTGGGGGGTTTGGTTTGATGTGTTCTCCGTCAGAGAAACAAAGAAATAAATCCTTGGCAAACCTGGTAAAGACGACTTTTAAAAGGCTCTGGGGAGTTTTGAAAGGGTTTTGTTCAACACCTACGTACAAGCCAATTGGATGTACATGTGAATCAACCAATATTGGTTAAGTAAAAACATAAAATGATCAGATTTTTTGTACAATTTGTTAAATCGCACAAATCTAATTTCGATCACTTTATTGATTTAGTCTTAAAGTAAAATAAATTTTTGTGATTGCAATTTTCTAATTTTGTTTCAGAATAACATACAGAACAAGTTTGTACAGTATTATACTGTGCTGTGTACTGAGTACAATGATAATATTAGTTCCAAGTACAGGACTATGGGGCAAACTAGGATTTGATATTGTTTCAGGTAAACTATACAGGGTGTGCCAAGAACACGACAGTGGGGAGAAATCTTGAAGATCGTCTTGGTCTCTGACATAATTTGCGGCATTGCCTCGTAAACTTGCTTTTTACAATTATATTTATTGAAACAATGATCACAAAATACTAGAATTTCAAAAATGGTGTATTCTTATTTTGAAATTTTAAATTACTTTAAATTAAGATCAAAATGAATTACTTTAAAGATTAAAGACGACTTTCAAATCGTCTCTCAACAGTCATGTTTTGTGGGTCACACTGTTGAATAACTAAACCAACTTTTAGCCAGAGGATATTTACATTTTATTCTGACGTCACAATTATCTCTCTAGGAAGAGATGAACTAGTAAACTGTCATGGTATGATTCATATTATCTATATAGCAAAGCTCTTCGATCACATATATGTGTAGACTATTAGCGGCCAAACGGCTGGACCGAATGGGCTGAAATATTTTATGGAACCGATGAATACCCGAGGGGTAATATAAGCTTAAAATTTTTTGGAAATCCATTTCAAATTTTTTTTTTAATTTGCACGGCCCGAGCCAACGCCGGAAACTCCAGCTAGTTCAGTATAAATATGTTGAATATTGGTTAAATGCCCCAAAAGCCTAAGATCTGAGTTTTTTTTGTAATAAAAACATAATTTCAGAAACTTGCAGAATATGGTTCTCGCCAGGAAAAGTCAAAATTTAAAAACTAGAAATATAAAATGTAGTCTATATATTATAATTTGCGTGTCTTGGTGTCTGTCTGTTGGTATGTGTCCAATAAACGCCAAACTGGCTGAACCGATCGGGACAAAATTTTGTTTGTATTTGTTTTATACTGAACAAAGATGCTTACAGATAAAGCCACAATTAAAAGTTGAAAGAAAATGGATCCGAAGCGCCCTAAAAGCTAGTCTATATTAGTCTGTATTAATTGTCTGGTTTAATTAGAAAAGCACTGTATTACAAGTGGTTTGTTTAGAATAGCACTGTATATAAAGTGGCTTATTTAGAATAGCACTGTATTAGAAGTGGCTTATTTAGAATAGCACTGCATTACAAGTGGTTTGTTTAGAATAACACTGTATTAGAAGTGATTTAATTAGAAAAACACTGTATTAAAAGTGGCTTATTTAAAATAGCTCCGTATTAGAAGTGGTTTATTAAGAATAGCACTAGACGTGGTTTATTCATCCGAAGCGCCATAAAAGCTAGTCTATATTAGTCTGTATTAATTGTCTGGTTTAATCAGAAAAGCACTGTATTACAAGTGGTTTATTTAGAATAGCACTGTATACATACTGGCTTATTTAGAATAGCACTGTATTAGAAGTGGTTTATTTAGAATAGCACTGTATTAGAAGTGTTTTTTTTTAGAAAAGCACTATGTGGTTTATTTAGAATACCATTTTATTATAAGTTGTTTATTTAGAATAGCACTGTTTTAGAAGTGGTTTTTTTTTAGAAAAACACTGTGCAATAAGTGGTTTATTTAGAATGGCATTGTATTATAAGTGGTTTATTTAGAATAGCACCGTATTCGAAGTGGTTTATTAAGAATAGCACTAGACGTGGTTTATTTAGAATAGCACAAAACACTGTGCAATAAGTGGTTTATTTAGAATGGCATTGTATTATAAGTGGTTTATTTAGAATAGCACCGTATTCGAAGTGGTTTATTAAGAATAGCACTAGACGTGGTTTATTTAGAATAGCACTGTATTAGAAGTGGTTTATTTAGAATATCACTGTATTAGAAGTGGTTTATTTAGAATAGCACTGTATTAGAAGTGGCTTATTTAGAATAGCACTATATTAGAAGTGGTTTATTTAGAATAACACTGTATAATAAGTGGTTTATTTAGAATAGCGCTGTATTAGAAGTGGTTTATTTAGAATAGCATTGTATTATAAGTGGTTTATTTATAATAGCACTGTATTATAAGTGGTTTATTTAGAATAGCACTGTATTAGAAGTGGTTTATTTAGAATACCACTTTATTAGAAGTGGTTTATTTAGAATAGCACTGTATTAGAAGTGGTTTATTTTCAATAGCACTGTATTAGAAGTGGTTTATTTAGAATAGAACTATCTGCAGGCTATAAAGTTGGTTGACAAAAATGATTAAGGCATAGATAGTAAAATTATAACAAGGGATATCAATTACGTTTTAATCTATTTTGACTTTGTACAGATGAACTGAATCCAAATTCGGTTTTGATGCCGATTGGTCTTGGGATTCCTTACACTATTATATTTGTCTGCTATTCTATAATTCTGAAAACAATCAGGAAAACAAATCGGTGAGTTTTACTAATTTATGATTTTCTTAAAGGATGATAAAGAGGGATGTTAACGTTTTCTTTTTTTTTTGAAAAACGATCGTTTCGTTATGAAAACGACGATGAAAAATCGAAAACGAAACAATCGTTTTTAAAAGCGATCTTTTTTCAAAAAGTTTGGTTTTTTAAAATAGTCGTTTTTAAAGCGATCGTTTTGAAAAACGATCGTTAATAAAAACGACGAGGAAACCGACCTGAAGGGCATCTGTACTTATCATTTTAAGAAATATCAAGAAGTTTTTGCTCCCCCAAAACTTTTTAACTTCGTCTAAGACGACATTCAATAAAGTTGCATGTAATTTTTTTGAAAGCGATTTTTTTCCAAAAACGACAGTGTTTATAAATTTCGTCGTTTCGTTAACGATCTTTAACATAATTGTCAATAAAATTTTTTTTTTCAAAAACTATCGTCTTTTCAAAAGCGATCGTTTTTAAAAAACACTCGTATAAAAAATGGTCACAAATAGCTTTTTTAAAAAACGATCGTTTTCTAAAACGATCGTTATTCGTTTTCTAAAAATTCAAAACGATTGGAAAACGAAACAAAAAACGATCGTTTTCAAAAACGATTAAAAATCCTAATTATAAATAAACCGAAAAATCTAATAAAAATTTTTCCTTTATTCATAAAATGAGTAAAGTTAAAAACCTTTTTAACCCTAAGTTAAATAATTTAGATTAAACTCTAATAAATCAGCTTATATTTATTTCTAGAAAAACATAACTGTTCATTTTGATACATTCTTAAAATTGCACTAATTCTGGCAAACTATACTTTTGTTGCAGAACAATAGAGCTGCAAGGAAGCTGTAACCTGCCTTTTCGACCAAGTCTTACACCAGGTAAAAAAAATGATTTTTGAAAAAAAAAATCCTCTTTTACAGTTTCAGAATGTGATTTTTCAATGGGTCAGCCTGGTCCCAAATTCCGTCCAAAAACACTGAGACTGCCGGAAAATAATTTGGCCGTTTCAATGGTTATTTCGTCCGAGATGCAGCAGGAATATGAGTTTCTTCACTCTCCGAACAATAGTTCCCCTGACAATCAGCAGGAAATGGTGTGTCTTCTAACTCCAAACAAATCCTCCCCTGATAAACATGAAAAAATTAAGGTTTACAACAATATGACTTCTGAAAAATGGCAGAATCAGACTCATCTTGAAACTCTGAACAATATTTCCCCTGACATTAAAGGTAAACATGGCTTCCTTAGAATTCCAAGCAATATATCCTCGGAGTTACGGAAGGAATTTCTTCCAACTCCAAACAAAGTTTCTACTGAACTTCAGCAAGAAATGGTAAATCTTCAGACTTCGAAAATAGGTTCCCCTGACATTCAGAAGAAACAATCTTACCTTAGAATTCCAAGCAATAGTTCTTATGAGCTGCAGAAGGAAAACGGATGTTTGCTAACTCCTAACAAAGTTTCCCCTGACTTTCAGCAAGAAATGGTAAATCTTCAGACTTCTAAAACATGGTCCCCTGTCATCCAGAAGAAACTTACTTCTCTTCAGATTCCAACCGTGTTCTCCCCTGAAATACCAGAGGGGAAATCCAACAAAGTTTCTGATAAACTTTATAAAGAAAAGACATCGATTGTGATTCCGAAAAAAATGCCACCGAAAGTTCAGAAAGGAATCATTTCCATGAAATGCTTCAATTTTAATGAAAAAATTAGGTAAAAACTTTGCGAATTATTATTAATTTTGAAAATATATCTATGTATTTTCTTAGCCTCTAATCTTAATTTAAAACCTTTGATTTATATATATTAGTAGATCAGGTTCGAATTCGCGAGAATCCACTCATTTTTTCCACTCTTCAAAGTCGCTGAAGAAGATTTTAGAAGAAGAAACAAATTCAAGTAATGGCGAGGTAATATTTTTTAACTTGCTTTTTATCCAATGGTAAAAATAGGTTTTCACAGATAGGAAGCAATATAAACCTTTAACAGAATTTACACATCAAAAAATATCCAAAGGAGATAAAAATAATTATTTTTGGTCTTTCTTTATAATCGATTTTCTTTTATATGTTTACTTTAAGGAGGCAGTGAATAGAACGTTAGGAAGTATTCTACAAAATGAACGAATAAATTTAAAATCGGAAAAGCTCTCAGCAAGACAAGGTTTGAATGATTGTAAGGGACCGACCTTGAAATTTGAAGTGCCCTCCCATTTCCAATTTATGATTATAATTCTATAAAAGATATTCTCATTTGCCTTGATCAAATAGATTTTATTTCTGGCTTTTTTCTCTACAGGGTTATCCACAAAGGACGAGACTGTAAAGACGACATACAAAACTCTAAAAATATGACGATTTTTAGCTTAATCTTTTGTTTCCTCATTTAATCAAGTATTTGGATAATTTGCTGTATGGTTAAACAAAGAAATAAGCCATTTTTGGCCTACAAGTAACCCTAAATGCAAGAAAAGTACTAAACAGATTCCGTAAAATCGTCTCTATTAAGTCTCATCCCTGTTTATTGTTTCTCTGAAGCATATATGCGCAAGGCTCTTTTCTTGGAATGATCACAATTGAAAATAATCAGACTTTCAAAAAGAAGATGATATATACCTCATGCCATTTTTTATAATACAAAGGTTTTATTTTACAAAGGTTTTATTATATAAAGGTTTTATCATATAAAGGTTTTATTATATAAAGGTTTTATTATACAAAGGTTTTATTATATAATGGTTTTATTATACAAAGGTTTTATTATACAATGGTTTTATTATACAAAGGTTTTATTATATAAATGTTTTATTATATAAAGGTTTTATTATACAATGGTTTTATTATACAAAGGTTTTATAATACAAAGGTTTTAAGGATATCGACCATGTCACTTTTATAATAGAAAATCACTTGCCTTCATTTTAGAAATCAATTTCATTCTTTTTTTGTAAATTTAAAATATTAGAAGTTTAGGACTTTTATTAATTGTTAGATATTATTTTCTAGAAAATTGTTCTTTAGAGACTTCTTTTACTTCAACTCGATGCATACCAGATATAAGGTAATCAAATTCTTCACATATTTCCTAGGTTTAAAATATATAAAAATAATGTAGTCGATTTAATAACTTTTAATTTCGCATGAAGCATCGGAAATGTACTTATTTATTATATACTAGCTAGAGAGCCTGGCGTTGCCCGGGGAAAAAATGTTGATTTTTTAATCCTTGTCATCCTCAGGATATCCATGATCGAGTGTTCGCAAAAAAAATCAGACCTTTGGGTCCAGCCGTTTGGCCGGCCAGAGGGAACATAAATATGTAATTGCGCAAAGATTTTCTTACGTTTTAAGTAAAAGTTGAACAAAATTCTGATATAATTTCGCATTGATGCGTAAAAGCTATTACTCGCAAATTATGAAGAAAATCTTGATTTTTGCGCATTTCGTTATTTCTGCTATTTCGTTATTTCATGCTATTTCGTTATTTCGTGCTATTTTGTTAAATTTCGAGAAACAATTGCGGGACCAAAAAAATTTTTATTTCGAATAAATGCGCAATTTCGTGCAAACCTGCTGCAAAAACACGAAACTGTTGCGCAAGAGAATCTACTGTTTCGTGGAAACCCTAATACGGGTTACACTACACAGATACTTTTCAATTTCATAGTTGTTAACAATTCAATAGGGTTGGGTGTAGAACGGTAAAACACCCCCCTCCCCCCTTCAATCATTTGGGGGATATATAAAAGTTTATTATAATTATCAATAAAATATTTTTAACTAGATATTTGTAGATTTTAAATTTTTTCTCTATTAGAATATCATATGTGGAGAATATGGAGAGAAAATACACACTTAGGAGACAAAAGCGAAATAGGTAAAAAATAATAACTTTTCTGTGAAATAATGTTTAATCGCCTTAAAGGGACTGTAAGCGTAATTTTAAGTAACCCCGTATTAAAATTCGATTTTCATTAGATTTTGAAAATTCGCAAAATTGTTTTATAAAATCCTTGAACTTTTTTGTTTTTGTTATACGATGTATACAAAGAGAAAATATTCACATTTCAAAAAGAAGATGGGCCTGAAAGCCTTGTCAGGGCCTGAAACCTTTATCTTGTCTGTTCAATAATGAGGAAATTGTTCTTTGTTTAAAAGTGTTCAATTTTGATAATTCCTATAAGTTTTCTTGCACTAGAGAAATAAACATTTCATTTTTGTAGAAAAACCACAATTAAAATTAATTAGTATACTATTTAAAATGTTGATAATTAATATCTGTAAAGTGATACTTGATCAGCTGGGAATCAGATTTGCCATCTTTGTAATTCTTTTTTTTTCAGAAAGATTAAATTTTATTTTTTGAAAGATTTAATTAAATTTTTTTAGAAATAATTAATTTAATTTTTTAAATTTTTATTTTCAGACAGGAGTTAAATTTGACATTTACCGTTGGGATTATACTAATTACAAATCTAGGTAAATTCTAATAAATTTGTCAAAAGTATATTTTGTAAATATTGTATAATTCAATTTTTCAAACATAAAAGCTTTTGTCTGTGTATCAGTATCTGCCTTTTTTAAATAATGATTCGATTGAAATAATTAGATTATCTACGATCTAGGTAAAATAATGCAAATTTCTTTGGTATGAGTCGTTTTTAACCATTTTCTCTTATAAAGACAACAGATAGAAGTAAAGGACTGGCGATCGTAATCGAATTCAATTTGGGATCAGCCAGTCCCTATACCCCTTTTTTATTTATTAAGCTAATTTTTATTAGTATTTTGTATTTTAGCACAGATAAAACGAATAAATCGCTAAATTATGTTGATCATTTACCAATTCATTTACTTTACAATCTATAGAATATATATTCAGTATTAAAAACGGAGCAAGGTTGTATAATAAGGTTGCTTACTCTCGATGTGCTCCAATGTACGAAAATGTCGTCTCCTTAAAGCATAGATATATGATAGAATCTGCATATGACGTCACACTCGCCTCTATAATCAGTGACGTCATATGTTGATTCTATCTATCTATGTGTTTCGCTACTTAGCGATTTCCCTAAAGACCTAATATATGTACCGTGTGGTATTTCTCAGGACTGGATCGTAAGACTCCCTTCTCTCAACGCTCTTCATAATAAAAAAGGAAGATAGTAAGGTTCCGAACGTTTATTTCTCTGAGCCTTCAATCTAAACAAGTTTAATAAACCCACAGAAAAAGCTTTGAGTGAAAATCATACAATTACAACAAATTATCCACTCAGGCATTAAAAAACTGTGGCTAGGAACCAATAAACATATACACAACTATCAATCATACTAGAATCAACCGATAAGCATAAATATATATAAAATAATTACCACGGTGATCCCAGAATTCTGAACACGGATAATACTTGCAAAACGAATAAACATATACTGATATAAATTTAACTACTACTCCGCGAGAAATCTTGCGTCTGCGCAGTCGGACTGTAAACAGTTCCTAAACTAGTTCTTTCACAATACATTCCGTACAGATCTTCAGGGAGAACTCAGAAATACCCAGGGGTGACAAGCAGACTTTCTACACGCAGCATGGCTCGCGTAACACTATGCTCAGGAGACGACATTTTCCTTAAATTGGAGCGCGTCCAGAGTAAGTAACTTATTTTACAACTTATTTTTTGAAACGAAGTGAGCTGGTAAATTTAATCTTAACTAAAAGAAGAAAAATAGGTGAAACATTGACACATTTTTTTTTTCTTTTTCAGCGTTTAATTTACCAGCAGTTGTAATCAGGAGCATTGACCCTTTAGTTACTCTCTACCCTGAGGTAAAATATTAAGTAAATAATTAATGGGATCGCTCATGAAAGATTACATAAAAAATTTATAAATTGAGGTTTTTTACATCACAGTTTGTTTGAAATCCTCTACATATAGCTGAGCACTGTTAACAGGAAACCGTCGTTTTTCATAAAGTTACAAGCAAGGAACAAAGGGTTTTTGGATAACGATCGCACATGTTAACAACCAACAACTTAAATATTAATTTCATAAATAACAATTTATATTATAAATAAAAAAATATTGTATTTTAGGCTCATATACCCGTCTATGTAACTGCATGGTTTTCAGCTCTAATCAATCCATTGGTAAAACCTATACCGTAATGTTAAAAAGAAAAATTAATTAATTAATTTTCAGCTGTATGTGGTGTGTAACTCATCGTATAGAGCAGCATTCAAAAGAAGATTTCATATAAAACCTAAATAAAGTTCTTAAAAAAATCTTTTTTTAGAAAAGAAATAATTTTGTTCTGGTTCTGCATATATGTATGAATTAATAAGTATGCATTTTCATTATTATGTCAAGATATGTTTCTTTTTATCATACAACAAAAAATATATTGTAAAAAAGTATCTTTTTTAATTTTGAACATGGCAAGAATTATGAAGAAAGTGCAGCAGCAACAAAGCGGTGGAACATCAGGGGCTGTAAGTGCAATTTCAAATGCAAAGATGGCAATTCCAGATTCATAATGGTACCCTTGAAAGCTTTGTCTGGTTAAGTAAGTGACACGCGCATTTCTAGCTTACAAGAAACAAGGGTACCGTTGTATATCCGGGCATTGCTTTCTTTGCATTGAGGGTTATTTACAACTACGCTTACTGTTCCTTTAAGCATAGTTTATGAAAGATGTATTGATGACTGTTCCTTTAAGAATAGTTTAGGAAAGATATATTGATGACAGTTCCTTTAAGAATAGTTTAGGAAAGATATAATGATGAAGATAGATTTACATTTTGCAAAATTATGAGATTAAATACGAGAAAATAAAATGTCAAAATGTAAATTTTATCTTTGAATTGAGGATTATGAAAACTGTTTAAAAGATAAGAATAATAATAGTTTGGTTAAAGTCAGTATGAGACTGTTTACAAAATACAATTCTCAGTGACAAAAAATGTGTTTACATATGCTTAAAAACATTTGAAAGAGTAAGGAAAAGAGTTAAAAGTAAAACATGGTTTTAAAGGGATTGTAAAGGAAAAATAAATGGGGGTATAGGATGAAACCTGAGAATCTCAGGCGTTGAACAATACTATGACATCTATCTGATGAATCAAACGGAAATCTAACATTATTAAAGGGACTGTAAAGGAAAATGAGAGGGGGTATAGGATGAAACATAATATTATTTCATATTGTTCGTATAGTCTGTATTATGTCACCAATGGCAGAGCAGTATACTGGTCACGTGATGCAGACGGAAATTACATGACCAGTATACTGCATGTTTGATATCTATCGTTCAACTGCCTGAGATTCTCAGGTTTCATCCTATACCCTCTTTTATTTTTCCTTTACTTTAATAATGTTAGATTTCATTTGACTTAGGGAAACATTGGTATAATTTATTTGTCAGCATTTGTTTTTTTTCTCGAAATTTTTGCATTTTTTTTCGCAAAGCTTTTTTTGCGAAACAGATTAAAGCGATCTAAATGTTTTCCATTTTCGCGCGCGAACGAAATGCAAAAAATACGAGATTTTCGCTGGAAACCCTAGTCCTACGGATCGAGCTACAGGGTTACCCACGAGGGATGAGACTGTATTGACGACATTTTACTCTTGAAATATGACGATCTGGTTAAACTTGGCTTTCTGCGTTGAATATACAGGGTGTCCCACTAAACATGAGAGTAGTGAGACGACTTGAATATAGTTTTTTATTTTTGATATAATTTTTCACCCTAATTTTAGAAATAAAAATTCTAGAGATAATAATATCACAAAATATCCCTATTCCTGTTATTTCCAAAATGTGGTCTGTCTTTTTTGTGCTTTCAATATTACCCGAGATATGAAGAATTTCGTTAAGAATTTGGGTTTTATAACAAATTGAAATCTCAACGAAATTCTTAATATCTCTAGTAAAATTGACAGCATAAAAAAGGCAGACAACATTTTGGAAATGCCAGGACTAGGAGAGTTTTATGCTTATTGTTTTGAGAATCATACATGTTAAAGTAGGTTGACGACTGAATATCACAAGTAAATTCTAAGATCAAAGAAGACTTTCAAATCGTCTTGTTACCGTCATGTTTCATGGGACAACAGTTTATTACTTTAACTATTTAATGATTTGGGGAAAGAAAATTATATGGCTTTAATAAAAGCTTCAGTGAACAAAAACTCAATAAGCTTTGTAAAGAAGGCTGATCGAGAGGCGTAGAAAAGTCGTCTTTTAGTTTTCATTTTCCGAATTCACATTGATCCAGACAGCCATGAAAAGTTGCCAAAATCGACTGGGTCGATTTTAAAGTGCCGCAACACCTTAGCCTTTGACTTTATCTAACTAACTCAGTTATACTGTTTTGTTCGGCCCTAGACATGTATATTTTATGGCTTTTAAGAACTTATTGGCAAAATTATCATAGATTTATGAAAAACTTGCTTTGCCGAGTTTGTTCAGTGGATTTGTTTAATTCTAGCTGTCTTCCATTTTTTTATTAAAAAAATGTGTGTAAGAATCAAGGTTGTATAATAAGTTATTCTCGAATCTTGATGCGCTCCAATGTACGGAAATATACAACCTTGCTAAGGAATGTTGCACTTACGTGTGCTGAAAGAAAACAACGCATTACACACGCTTTTCTCTAAGGTCTAATTATTATACTTGATCAAAATAAAATTAATATCAAAATGTCTCTTATAGATGTTAGAACTACGTGGTTAAAACTTTATTAAATTTCGATGATATTTTATGATAATGCTATTAATAAAAAGCAATATATCAAAAAATAACACGGCGATACTTTACTACGCAACTTTATAGTTTGTTTATTATTTCAATAATAGTGTTTTGTTACATTCACAATATATGTTATGAAACGTGGTAAATTGATGTAAAAATCTTAGCTGTTACTATCTACATTCTTTTACCAAAAACTAAGGTTTTTCTGTTTTGAAATAATACCCTGCGATGAATACATATAATATTTGTGTATATAGCTCTGAATAAACAGAGAGTTGGGGGAGGGGGGGGGAGTATCAGAGTAGGAAAGGGGGGATATCAGGCATTGAGGGGGGGATATCAGAGTAGGGGGGGGGGGAGGTCTTGTTTCTCTATTCCAGTTACGTAAAGCTGTTAGTCTCGTTCAATATTTTTTGCGTTGCGAAAGAAACACTAATAACCTTCTTAAATAGAAAAAAGTTTTAAAGTTATTTTACACTTTTTTCTAGTTTAAAATATTTTTTAAAGAATTTCCTATTTTGGAAAAAATGATTTAGATAATAATAATGATTCCTGGACAGGCAAAATTTGCCGGGGGCATTGTCTGTGCCTTTTTTTCTATTATAGGTAAACTATACTTTTACGGTGATCTTCTATTACAGTTTTTAATTATGTCTCCATCTGTGAGCATCTTTTCTTTCAAAAACTTTGTAATTTTGAGCATCCATAACCCTTCCTTGGGGTCATGTGAGGCCCCACACAAAACTTGGGCCCGATCAGTTCAGTTCAGTAAAAATGAAAATGGTTTCTTTTATTTGTCTTGTTCTAAAATGTGATCACTTTCGACAAAAAATATGAACCTACTAAAAATTAAATTTTGCCAAACTAACTTTAGTATTGATAATAATTCATGAATACTGAATACTGGCTCAATATTAATTATGGATAATTTACATAAATCAGCCTTTCTCTCAGTCAGACAAAAAGTCGTCTCTATGTATAAAAATGAAGCTCGTCGCTCTTGTATATTTATATATATATGCTCAATGTATATAGTTGGCAAAACGACTTAACCAAATTGGCTGAATTTTGTCTAGGGAACCATGGGTACCCTGGGAGTAACATAGGCTAAAAAAACGAAATATTTTATAAAACCGGATTTTCAATTAATATTAACATTTTTACTTTAAAATTCGATTTTTAAAAGATTCTACGGGCAACTCTGGGAACTTTAGCTAGTTTTTTTTACATCTTTTCATCCTAGCATTGTGTTTAGTGATATTTAAAATTATGAAGTATGCTATGATCAGAGACCGAATTTAAAGAATTTGAGCGGCGGCTTAAATTTCAGCTGTGGCTCAAATATGGTTGGTTTCACTTAAAATTGTATTCAATGTTCAAGATTTAAGTCGGTGCTTAATTGAAACCGGTTTTTGGCGGGTTTAAGACGCAGCTAAAATTTATTAAATTCGGTTGCAAAATATAGGGATTAGAACAGTTTGAGGTGAGTTTTTATTCTCTTTTTACCTGTGCTTAGGAACTGTCTTGAACTCTGTTTCTATGCTGGTTTTACTCAGGTAAAAAATGTAAATTAGAAAAAAATCTTTTTAAATTTCAATGTCGAAAATCGAAATACATTATAATTATTATCATTAATGTTTTGTTCTGAATGAAAATCAAATTTAATAAAAGCAATCGGATTTTTAAAGTACAGCTTAACCCAGACATGGAAGAATAAATAAAATGTCGTTTTCTAAACCTGCAATAATGTATTACTGTAGATATTTAGTTCTTTAAATTGTTATTTATTTGTTTAATTTGTTTAATTGTTATTCAGGATATTTTTTTATTTTGAAATTACTGAGATATAGGTACAGTACAAAACCCATCGAAAAATTGTCAAGACGAAATTATAAAAATTCTTTCGATGTCTTCGAAGCTCTGGGCTTAACTGTCGTTAATAATCTCAGCATATTTCGAATACCTCGTATAAAGCTGTTGATTTTAGAGAAGATTAATTTTTTAAAAATCAGCTTACCTCCAACATGGGGTTTAAGCATCAAGACAAAAAAATAAAACAAGAGAAAAATCTCAGAATCGTCCACACAATCCTGAAAGGATGATTTAACATCAGAGAAAATACTTTATAGCCTAGCCGCACTACAAAACATGTACAAATAAAAGAAAATTATTTGACAAAAAACCCAGGTGGGCGTTTGGCTCAATTCCAGCTATATTGAGATAATCAAACAAACAAAAATGTTAATCTTATTTTTTTTTACTCGACAAATTATGATATTTTCAGGGATCCTAAACTCCGATCTCACCCTACAACAATCCTAGTGATTGCTCTCTCAGGGTTTGATCTTCTCTACACATCAATCATCTTTCCTCTTCTGGCTGTTCATTACCTAGACTGCTGGTAAACAGACAATCTTGACAGACAAACTTTCACACGCACAACCGGTGTACATATGAATATCCGAGCTGGGCCAACCTTTGCGTACCTTATAGTGTACCGACAATTTACAATTACTAAAGCGGCAGACCCAAGGTTCTTTAAAAAGGTTGGTTACTCTGGATGTACTCCAATGTACGGAAAATGTCGTCTCCTTAGCATAGACAGATAGAATCCCGTAATAGACATCACACTCGCCTCTATAATCAGTTATGTCATAGGCGGATTCTATCCATCTATGCTAAGGAGACGACATTTTACGTGCATTGGAGCGCGTCCAGAGTAATCAACCTTATTTAAGAACATTAGGCAGACCTGCAGTGTTCAAAAATAAACCTCTAACATATAGAGAATGTCGTTATAAAATCTAGTCACTAAAAACGTCGCTTATTTGAAGTACAAGCCTGACCTTTAGGCAGATAGAACTAGTTTTGTAAAGTATACACACAGCCTATAGACGGTAAAAAGGAACGGTACACCAAATTGAATGAATGAATGTGATTATTTAGATTTTTAATTCTACACAAATGAAAAGAATATGATAATATTTCTTAGGTTTTGCTTTTCTGGTTCAACTTTGTGTTCAATCCTAGCTTATGCCTTCCTTTGGAACCATGGGAATCTTCTTAACATCCAGGTTTAATATTTTACTCTTTATTCTGGAAACATGGGAACCTTCTAAACATCCAGGTTAAACATTTTACTCTTTACTCTGGAACCATGGGAACCTTCTTAACATCCAGGTTAAACATTTTACTCTTTACTCTGCAACCATGGGAACCTTCTTAACGTCCAGGTTAAACATTTTACCCTTTACTCTGGAAACATGGGACCCTTCTTAACATCCAGGTTTAATATTTTACTCTTTACTCTGGAACCATGGGAACCTTCTTAAAATCCAGGTTAAATATTTTACTCTTTAATCTGGAACCATGGGAACCTTCTTAACATCCAGGTTTAATATTTTATTCTTTAATCTGGAACCATGGGAACCTTCTATACATCCAGGTTTAATATTTTACTCTTTACTCTGGAACCATGGGAACCTTCTAAACATCCAGGTTAAACATTTTACTCTTTACTCTGCAACCATGGGAACCTTCTTAACATCCAGGTTAAACATTTTACCCTTTACTCTGGAACCATGGGAACCTTCTAAACATCCAGGTTAAATATTTTACTCTTTACTCTGCAACCATGGGAACCTTCTTAACATCCAGGTTAAACATTTTACTCTTTACTCTGCAACCATGGGAACCTTCTTAACATCCAGGTTAAACATTTTACCCTTTACTCTGGAAATATGGGAACCTTCTTAACATCCAGGTTTAATATTTTACGCTTTACTCTGGAACCATGGGAACCTTCTTAAAATCCAGGTTAAATATTTTACTCTTTACTCTGGAACCATGAGAACCCTCTTAACATCCAGGTTAAACATTTTACTCTTTACTCTGGAACCATGGGAACCTTCTTAACATCCAAGTTAAACATTTAACTCTTTACTTTGGAACCATGGGAACCTTCTTAACATCCAGGTTAAACATTTTAATCTTTACTCTGGAACCATGGGAACCTCATAAACTTTTTTTTGGTTAAACATTTTACTCTTTACTGCATGTTACTTTTGAATTAAAATCAATCCAACATGATTATGACAGAAATCGTACACTATAACCTCGTTGGGAATGGCTTAATATAAATAAAATGTAAGTTGATGTCAACGAGGTTATAGTGTAGTTTATGTCAAGCACAGTTTAAAAAAATCTAATTACAAATTCTGATTATCTTTGTTTCTCAGAAAACAGATGAAAATATATTTGGTAAATAAAACAGCTTGCATGTAAAAGTATTAACAATTTCAAGCGCTTTTATTGGTAAAATGTGAATAAAATGTGATTAAATTAATATCTTTCCATCTTTGATTTAAAGGGCGCTGTTGCAAACTGAATATTCTTATGAAGCTAGGGTCACTTTAAATTACGTCGACAGTCCCTTTAAAGTTCCATTTTAGGCTGTTTTGGCGGTAAATAGATGGGCAGCCGTTTGCACGAATATGAGGTAAATAGATGGGCAGCAGTTTGCACGAATATGAGGTAAATAGATGGGCAGCAGTTTGAACAAATATGAGGTAAATAGATGGGCAGCAGTTTGCACAAATATGAGGTAAACAATTGTCACGTCAAACTAGGGCTTTTTTCTAGCCATTTCGTTAATGGTTAGCTCCAACCGTACAGAAGTAATTGATAAATAATCAAAAGTGGAGGCCTTGATGGATCCAAAGGAACTAAGAAAGCCACAAACTTAAATTTGTAATCCCTTTATCTTTGCAACCAGATGGTGTAACTAAATTCAGATGGGTTGCAAACAAATCTGTAAATCAGAGTTTGTCACAAAGACTCAATTCTTTTATCCAAAAAAAAATTCAAAACCTATTTTTATGAATTGAGCAAAGTTCTGTTAACAAAACGGATATTTTGCAAACTTACAGAAGACTTTCTTATTAACGAACAGCAAAAACCGTTAACAATTTCTAAAATATCTTCTATTAATGCCGTTAATAATGCAGGGGTCAATATAATTCCCAAAAAAGCTGATTTTCTCGATCCCAAAATAATTTTTTGCCCCCAACTTAAAAAAAGTGCCCCCAATTTTTTTTAAAAAATGCCCCCCAGTTGACATTTTTTTTCAAATTCCACTAACACATTTTCCCCAATTGCCCCCAATTTGAAAAAAATGCCCCCAGTTTTTGAAAAAAAGCCCCCAATTTAAACAAAAATGCCCCTAATTAAATTTTTTTTTTCAAATTCCACTAACACATTTGCCCCCATTGCCCCCAATTTGAAAAAAATGCCCCCCATTTTTAAAAAAATGCCCCCAATTAAAATTTTTTTTTTCAAATTCCACTAACACATTTGACCCATTGCCCCCAATTTGAAAAAAATGCCCCCAGTTTTTGAAAAAAAGCCCCCAATTTAAACAAAAATGCCCCTAATTAAATTTTTTTTTTCAAATTCCACTAACACATTTGCCCCCATTGCCCCCAATTTGAAAAAAATACCCCCAATTTTTTTTAAATAATCATTTTAAAAAAATTTGCCCCCAATTAAAGAATTTGCCCCCATTTCTTTTAAATTTGTCAATCCCAAATGGGATTGAAAAAGGAATCATATTGACCCCTGTAATAATGTTAACAAACGGTAACTTAAAAAATGAAGAATACCGTTAACGAAACCAACATTTTGTTCTTAGTTAAATAATGAAAGGCTCTCTCTCTTCTAAGACCCTCTATTTCTTCGATCATTGCAGTACGAACTGAAAGCAAAATTTCTGTAATAACGGTTTTAACTAAATGTCAATGAACATCTTGAAAAAAGTAAGTTTGTGGCCAGCCCTAATTATAAACGGTATTGCATATTATAAAAGTTACAACAACATAAATGTTGAAAAATCTTTTTTGCTTTTAGGATCACCTGTCAGACTAGTTTGTACAGTATCCTTATCTCCTGTGTTGTCAGCACTCTCATCCTTATTGTTCCAAGCCTTGGCATCTGGGGAAACTTTAGTTTTGACAGTGTTTCAGGTTAATACCACTGTGGACTTACTAGGGTCAATTTTAAACCAACCAGACCAACCTCTTGAACCAGCCTTAGGGACCCACTGTATGGTTTCAACTTTGATGGCGTGGCCAGACTTTTTACAGTACCCGGCCTTCATACGCATATTCGACCTAACCCACTAGCTTAGTATTGTGTGATACACTTACACTAGAGATGGGCATCCTTTTTTGTGAACAAACACCAGAAAATTTTAATTTTCTAATTCCTGTGTTGCAAACTCAGGGGGGATTTTAAGGAATTGATAATTTTTAGATTTTCGCTCTCTATATAATGAGAAATTTTTACATGGGGGGGGGCAATATTTGGTCATAATTTTATTAACAAACACAAACAACTGAACACGGAATGTACTGCAGTATACAACCCTGTGTTTACAATCTATATTAATTAATTATCTATACAAATATTCAATTATCAACATTTTACAACCCCCAAGAAATATGATCACTCTGTATAAAAGTGTACAGTGTTAGATACGTAAACATATTGTGATGTACACAGCTGACTACTCTATTAATTATTAATAGGGAGGTCGGTTGTGTACATCTGAGGAAAACTTTACCTCTTTATTTCCTTTCTATATGCCGTGTGATATATGTATAATTAAGTATTTAAGACAAATACCCTGTTAACTGCAAATCAAAAAATGTTAAAGTTTTATTTAATTTTCAAATACCTTTAAAAATATCACAAAAATGCATTTGATAGAACTTTTTTTAAAAGTATTATTTATTTTTTATTTTTTATTTTCTATTTCAGAAACCTGTAGTCTCTGGTCCACCCCAGGAAAAAACCTAAATCACATTTTTGATAAAAAAATTGATTTACCATTTCTTTAAATATTCCTTCATCTACTGAAAGATTAAAAAATATGGGATAAATGTCGTCTTGGTTCTTTCTTTTAAATGTTATTTTATTTAAAGATTCTTGAAGTAACCATATAGAAAACTTTATAAAACTCCAGAACAGTCTACCCTAATGGACATCTTTAAACATGTCATTGTATCAATGCTTTGGAAATCTCTTAAATTTGGACTGTACATATGATTTAAATTGAAGCTCTAGCAAAGCGGGAAACGCCGATGTACAATGGTAACCCTCGAAACCTTTGACTGATCAACAATGCAAGGGTATAACGCAGCTGATATTACAAATATTTCTCAAATATTCCAAATATTTCACATCCCATGCTGCTTTTAAAAAATCAAATAAAAATATTTATTATATTTCTAAAAAGTGGAGAGTTATATTTCTAAAATAAAAACTGCTCGCAAACTAAGTTATTAACAATAACAATTGTTTCAGTAGAAAAAGGAATAAGTGCATCATAATTGATCAGTCGAAGGTCTAACATCATACAGGCCTTTTTTCAAATAGAGGCTCACTTTAAATTATGTCTCTTAATATTGAAGAAATTAATTCTGCTGTTGTGATTTAGGACAGATTTTCAGGAGAAATCAACCCCAATACAGTCTTGATGCCATTTGCACTTGGAGTGCCTTACACAATAATATTTGCTTGCTATGCTGTTATTCTAAAGACAATAAGGAAAAACAACAGGTATTAATTCATTTTTTTAATTTTCATAAAACATGCTGTTTTTCTAATTTGCCCTGGACTTTATACCAAACAAACAGGAGCCAAATTTAAAGAATTTGGGCCACGTCTCTAATTTTAGACATGGCTCAAACATAGTTGTTCCACTTGAAATTGTATTCAGTGCTTGGAGATTTGAGCCAGAGCTCAATTGGAATTGTTTTTGACAGTTTAACGACACAGTTTGTTAGTGTCATAATTTATTTATCTCTTGAGCCACAGTCTTAGTTTGTTAGAATGAGTATTTTACCGCACAATCTGCAAATAAAATACCAGAGAACTGTTTCCTAATGTGAAAACATTAAATTTTAATTCTATAGAAAAATAGAACAGCAAGGGAGTTGCAATCTTCGCCCCCGTCCAAGCATCCTGCCAGGTTGAAAACAAAACAGCTGCTAACTCTAGAAAGAGATTATATTGGTTCAAATGTGCTAACCATGTGGGTCAAATTACAGCTGAACAAAGCTGAGGGTGGACCATTCAGTGGTGTAAGAAAAAGTTCATCTCAGTTTGAACTGATTTAAACAAGTATACATGACAGATGTTTCCCTCTTTATTAAAATCTAGGGACCTACATCTTATTAACTTACTTTACGTGGATGATAATTTAATGATTCATTTATTGGTAGGCCACATAATATGTTGACAATGCCACTGTGACTTTTAAGAAAATCATACTTGATAAGTTCAAGCATATAACAAGAACGTTTTTATTCTGAATTTAGTGATGTCTTTTTAATAATCTGCATTAGATTTTCCACTAAAGCATGCAATTTTTATATTTTTTTACAACCTACCTTTCAAAGCTGTTTTCTTCTCAATATGAGAACTGGAATCCTCAATTCAAGAACCTGTTTCCCACATCAATCAACCAAACACACTGAGCCTGCCTAACCGTGAGGACACTTCTGTAGTTCTTCAAAGTACGCAGAAGCATTCAGAGCAGGAACTAGTTTCAACGTCCACAATTCAAGTCAGAAGTCAACAAACTGTTAAGAATGTGCATAGCTACACATTTTTCGGAACACTCAGGTCTTAATAGTATTAAAACTATATAAGCATTAAAAATTTGCTACTTTCTTTTTATTTCTGTACATACATGGAAAAGGTGAAATATGTATGCTTTTCTAAAAAAAAAATTTACAAATTCAAAATTTGGTTACATAACAACCTTAATAAACTATTTTTAATGTGTGAAGAAAAAAGAAGGTTGGACATCTACCAGATATTCCTGAAATTGTGGAAACTGAAGTTAATTCAAGGTATCAACAGTTTTTATTATCTCTAAAGACAAAGTTAAATGATTTTTAAATAAATAAATTTCAGGAAAAGTTCAGAATCAAGATCTGACAATTATAGCAATTGCTTCCATTCTCTCAAGTCTCTGAAAGAAATTCTTCAAGAAGAGATTTCTTCATCAAACTCTGAGGTTTTGATACATATGTGGGTTAAATTTAATCTCTATTTTTGGAAGAATCAATTTTTATGATGGGTTCATTTAAGTACAGCCTGCTTTACAATCTTTTACTATTATAACTTTATAAACTTTATAAATATTTTAATTTATCAGCGGCAAATTAATCTATAAAATATATGCATGTAAAGTTTTTCAGGTTACTTCTGATTAAATTTCGGGAATTGGGATGTTAAAAATTACTCAAAATAATAATCCAAAATTTTCCGTATCAAAGTATTGTCAAAGATATTTTAATATACATTTAAAACGTGAATATGTGTCTTGTATAAGGAGATTCTGACATCATCATTAAAGAGTATTCTAGTTAATACAAGACCAGACTCATTAGAATCTATTTCAAGTTTAGACAAACAAATAACATCAGGTAATTCAGAGTCTAAAACTAAAGAATGCGCGAATTTTAAGTTTGAGGTTAAAAGTTCTGTAAAATAATGAATAGCTACTTAAGTATTAAACTTTCTCAATTTTAAATTTGAATTTCCCGGGAAAAATCTGAACCAATCAGAGAAAAGGATTTACGGAGAATATTACATAACCATCGCTAATCAGCTGTTCTTACGTAACCGAAAACAAAAAATACAACCGTTTTTTGGGTTTACATTCAAAAATTAATTTATCTAAAACGTGAAATTTCTTTAACAAGGTTTTCACTTTTAAAGTTGAATGCAGCTTTCTCAGCTGCAGCTGAATGATGATTGAATAATAGACAAATAGGGAAAATGCAGGATTTCAAGATAATTTAAACCTCTGTTTAAATTTTAACTCATCGATTTCAGCAAGTTAAATATTTAACCACAGGGTTAAATATTTAACCTCATGGTTAAAGTTCAGGTTTAAATTAAGTCAGAAGTGGCATTTAACCATGTACTTAAAATTTAAGTCAAAACTTTTCGTTCTTTAGTTTTAGACTCAGGTTAAATTTAATTAAATTGTATGTAAGAAATCTAATATACAATTATCTGATATAAACAGATACTTTTTTTTCGAGCTCACAAAGCTGCACCAGTAATGTCCGAGGAGTTAGACTTTTTCCTTCTGTATATGGCTCATTGTAAATTCTAACTCAAACTTATTTCTCGACTCAAAATCCAATTATTGTCCTGATACCTTGGCTCTTTTAGAATTCAAACTATGAATTGTGATAGATTATGCAGTCAAAACTACAAAATTTCTAAGGTTTGCACCGTCAGTTGCGAAAATACAGAATTAAAAATATTAAGCTGTATTGTAAATGAAATGTTAAAATCAACTGAAAATAACAGTACAATTTTAGTGAATACAATGAGAAACCTCTCAACAAACCAAGAAAATAGGTAAGAACTTGACTAATTAATTCTTATTTAATTGATGTTTGATTTTCAAGATATTTCTTAGTTGATTTAAAAACAAACTATTACAAATGAAAATATTTGGTTTAGCTCATAAAACAAACAAAAACTTCAAACTCTGAGAATAGATACTGATTTTTAGAATATCTTAATGATTTATCTATATAATAAAACAAGACATTCATATATATATGTTGCCTACAGCCGGCGAAATGGCTGAAATTGTGTGTGGACACTCATTGGTGTCCGGGGGGTGTTTTAGGCTAAATAAATCGATTTTTTTCAAAAAAAATTTTTTTTAATTTTAAAAAAAAATTACCATGGGCAAAGCTTAGCCTAGTAGTATTTTATAAATTTCAAATGTTTTAAGCAATTATTTTAACATTAAATATTATTTAGAATATCATATGTTGAGGATCTAGAAAGAAAAAACACATTAAAAAAAAGGAAAAGGAATCGGTAAGGGAAAGTAAATATAATTTTAATTAAGTATTGTAAAACCTATTTATTAGTCAAGAGCTGAATCTAACCTTTACTGTAGGATTTATTCTAATAACAAACTTAGGTAAACTTTATTATTTACAAAAATATAAATAACATAAATAATATAAATAAGGAAATGAGTATGATTTGTTAAAATTGCTATATCATTCCCAAGTAACAATTTTGCGGAAAATCCGCGGAAATTCCCAGGAATCTTTCACAGGAAAATCCGGTGAAAATGTCGACAGCTTTTCCCAGGAATTTCTCATAACTCATTCCGAGGAACCAGGTCCGAGGAATTTCTTGTAACCCATTCCAAGGAAATTCTCGTAATTCTATCCAAGGAATTTCTTGTAACCAATTCCAGGAAATTTCTTGTTTTCCAATTCTTCAGAAAAACCAGAGAAAATTTGTGGAAATTCTTGGGAATTTCTAGCGAAAAGGTCTTCAGAACCTATTCTTGGGAATTTCCTGGGAACTATTCCCAAGATTTTCTCAAGAGTTCCTCAGGAATATCTTAAAATATTCACTAACAAAAGTAGTGAATAACTTAACAACTTTATAGCCCCTCCAACTTTTTAGAAGTATAACCATCTTCTTAAGTCAGAATGTTATAGTCGTTTTTGATCTTACTGAAGTTGTCATGTATTTTGTTTATTCAGACAACTGAATTGTCAAGAAAAAATGTTTAAAAATGTTTAAAAAATTTTAAATATTTTTTTAAAAGATGGTTCTAACGTAAATTATCATTTTTTATCAATAAGGATGCAAAGAAAAAAAGATTTAGTTTGGGCAGTGCATAAAAGAAAAGAACCTCAGAGACCTATTGGTGAAAAACGGAACTTGAAAATTCTGTGAATTCTGTGATCAGGAATTTCCAGAGAAATATTCCTGAGAAATTCTTAGGAATTTCTTGAGAAAAATTCCTGAGAAATTCTCAGGAATTTCTCGAAACTTATTCTCTTATCTAATTCCCCTAAAAATCCATAAACTTGGTGACCAAGTTCTAAGAATTTCTCAGGAATTTCCTGAGAAGCATTCCGGTGAATTTCTCGGGAATTTCTTGGTGTGAAATTCCGGAGAAATTCCCAGGAATTTCTCGAAATTAATTCTTTTATTAAATTCCCCTTAAAATCCTTAAATATGGTGACCAAGTCCTAAGAATTTCTCAGGAATTTCCGGAGAAGTAGTCAGGAGAATTTCTCAGGAATTTCTTGGGGTGAAATTCCGTAGAAATTCCCAGGAATTTCTCTACACTAATTCTCTTAATAAATTACCCTAAAAATCCGTAAACATGGTGACCAAGTCCTAAGAATTTCTCAGGAATTTCCGGAGAACATTTCTGGAGAAATTCTGAGGAACTTCGTGGGGAAAAATTCCGGAGAATTTCTCAGGAATTTCTCGAAACTGAGTCTCAAAACTGTGATCCCACAAAAATCTCTCATCTTGGGTACCAATTCTAGGGAATTTCTCGAGAATTTCCGAGGAATCAGTTACAGGAAATGATTCTCGAGAAATTCGTCGGAAATTCCTTAAAGAAAGTCACCACGGTTGGAGAATCTGGGGAAATTCCTCACTTTTGTTACTTGGGTTGCCTCCCAACATTGTAGACCTTGAATATTTCAAACTATGAATTCTTTTAGATCATTTAAGTTTGAAATATTAAAGGTTTACACCATCAGGTTGCAAAAAAATAGGGTATCAATTCATTTGACTTTTTTCTCTGGTTGTTTCCAATAAGTGTCAAAACAGCCTGACCGATTAAGCCTGATTTTTTGTGGCAACTTACATGACCCTGGGAAGGTTTATGTCTGGTTGAAATAAAAAATGTACTTGTGTCTACTTTTTGAAATTTTCATTTATCCATCAATGTCAACAGGAAAATAAAAATAAAAATAAGAATGGCGACTTGAAAAGCAACATTTGTATGCTAACATTGTTACAAGAAAGCACGAAGCGTAATTTATGAGAAAAAAAATAAGAAGAGAATACCATATGATTCAAATCATGTTTACAAACTAAAATATTTATCTTTCTTCTCTTGAATTTTTAACAAACTTGTTATTTTGGTCAAAATACTCCCCTCTAGTTGTATATCTTATAATTTATCAATCCTAGCGTTTAATCTACCTGGCGTAGTTATTAGAAGCATAGATCCTCTTGCTCTTCACTATCCGCAGGTTACAGAATTATTTTTTAAGGAACTTATAATTCGCTTTTATCTCTAATTTTAAATATTTGTATCTTTGCAACTTTGCAAGTGTAACTAAAGGTTGTATTTGACCTGTCAGAATTCTACAATTCGATCAAATAGCCATAGTTTGAAATATTGGAGAAAAAATAGGTTATTAGAAAAGTAGGGTTTATGGCTAATTGTCTATGGCAAAAGTACTAATCATTTTATATTTGAAATCTGTATGTAAAGCTGTGATATTTTAAACTTAGATTATTTGGTACTTTAGTATTTCATGGTTTGAAATATCTTAGGTCTGCGACATTGAGTTGCAAAAGTAGAAAATCAGAGTGTGTTGCAAAAACTCAATTCCTTTGTTTGAGAAATGTAATTTACCTTATTATTTCCAGGCCCATATTCCTATATACGTTATAGCATGGAGCTCTACTTTAATTCATCCACTGGTAAAAAAATATATTAAATTCAGATTTTTGTTTTTTATTGATATTGGTAATCATGCCTGGGAACAGTCGTTTTAGCAGTAAAAGCTTACCTTGTCTCTACATTTTTACCTTTTTTGATTTTTACTTATTTTTTACTTAATTTTAATTTTTATCCTGACCTATCTGATCAAGTTTTGAAACTTATTGAAATTTGTAATACACAAAATTTGCTTTCTGGATATTTTTCAACAAAATGGGGATTTTTTTTCAATAGTTATTTATTGGAAAAAAAGATGAGAAATTTGTATTTCTATATTTATTTTTGTATATTAAAAAATTTTTATGACATTTTTTAGGTGTACGTAGCCTGTAACCCATCATACAGAGCAGCTTTTAAAAGAAGCTTTCTACATTTAGATATTCACAATACTAATTGCAAAAAGTTCTGGTAAACAAAATTCAGTTATTTAATTTTAGACTGGTCCATATATAGAGTAACCATATTTGGATCAATTATATAGTATACAGTCATCATATTTGGTTCAATTTTATACTATACAGTCACCATATTTGGACAAATTATATTCTATATATAGTAACCATATTTGGATTAATTCTATACTATATATAGTCACCATATTTGGATCAATTATATACTATATAGTAACCGTATTTGGATCAATTATATACTATATAGTCACCATATATGGTTCAATTATATACTATATAGTCACCATATATGGTTCAATTATATACTATATAGTCACCATATATGGTTCAATTATATACTATATATAGTCACCATATTTGGTTCAATTATATACTATATATAGTCACCATATATGGTTCAATTATATACTATATTGTCACCATATTTGGATCAAGTATATACATATAGTCATCATATTTGGTTCAATTATATACTATATAGTAACCATATTTGGATCAATTATAAACTATAAAGTCACAATATATGGTTCAATTATATACTATATAGTAAACATATTTGGTTCAACTATAAACTATATAGTCACCATATTTGGATCAATTCTATACTATATAGTCACCATATTTGGATCAATTATATACTATATAGTCACCATATTTGGATCAATTATATACTATATATAGTCACCATATTTGGTTTAATTATGTACTATATAGTCACCATATATGGTTCAATTATATACTATATATAGTCACCATATATGGTTCAATTCTATACTATATATAGTCATCATATTTGGATCAATTATATACTATATAGTCACCATATATGGTTCAATTATATACTATATAGTCATTATATAGTCACCATATTTGGATCAATTCTATACTATATAGTCACCATATTTGGTTCAATTATATACTATATATAGTCACCATATTTGGATCAATTATATACTATATGGTCACCATATATGGTTCAATTCTATACGATATATAGTCACCATATTTGGATCAATTATACACTATATAGTCACCATATTTGGATCAATTCTAGAAAATTTTTTGGCTGTTTTCCAGAAATGTTAGTTTTGTTGGAAATAAATGTTTTAAAAAAAGGAGAAATTTTTTTGTGTTGATGTTAATTGTATACAAACGTACAAACAGAGAAACAAAAGAATTTATACTAATTATAAGCTTTTAGTAGTATAACTATATATTACAGTAAAAAAAAAAAGTTTGCGGATTTCATAAAAATAAAATTATTATGAAATCCTCAAACTTTTATAAAAATAAAAAACTTCTGAACACAATTTTTTAAATTTTTATCAGTCATAACCCTTCCCTGGGGTCACGCGAGATCCCACAAAAAAATTGGGCCCGATCGGTTCAGCCGTTTTGACATTTATTGGATACAAACAAACAGACAGACAATCAGACAGAAAAGCCAAATTATATATAAATGTCTATCTAATTAATATTAAAAAACAAGTTTGTATACAGGACCTAATTCTTAAATTTAAACAAAATAATGCATCAATGGCAAATTAAATAATTTTTTTTTTCAGGTAAAAAACATCAATCTTTTTTTAGCTGTTAGGTTGTGTAGAATAATTTGTGTAATTATTATTATTATTATCCAGTATACACCTAGTTGTTCCCCAGCTTGCAAACTTACTACACATTTATTTTATATTTTCTTGGTTTATCTATATAATAAAACAAGACATTCGTATGTATTTAGGTTGTCTATAGTCAGCCAAACGGCTGGATCGATTGGGCTACATTTTTTTGTGGACACTCATGGGGGGCCGTGTTATAGGCTAACAAAATTCCAAATTTTTTTTTCAAATTTTTTTTTCACGGCAAACGCCGGGCCCATCAGCTAGTTGAATAATAAAATTTGTTGTGGCATCTCTAGAAAGTGTAAACCATACACCATACAAAACAATTTTTATAAGCTTAAATGTTTTTACTTGTTCTAAATAATTTTATCTAAGTTTTTGCCTCATGTGTTTTGTGTATGACCCTTCATTAATATTGGAGAGCATAAAAATTCAAGAAATTTACCAACATTCAGGCATTTGGGAAATTTCCTAAATATCCAGACATTTAGGAGATTTTTAATATACCCAGGTATTTGGGAATTTTCCTAAATACTCAGTTTATGAAATTTTGAAAATATATAGGCATTTGGGAGATTTTCTAAATACCTAGACATTAAGGAGATTTTTAAAATAACCAGGCATTTGGGAGATTTTCTAAATACCTAGACATTAAGGAGATTTTTAAAATACCCATAATAACGGGATTAGGAAATCAGAGTTTGTGGCAAAAAACTCAGTTCCTTTATTCAATCTTAAAATTTTAGACCAAATGTCTGAGAAAAATGGCAAAAAGGAACTTCCTCAGCCAGATGAGGGGCAGGTTAAAAATCAATACTTGAAAACCGCTTCCAATTGAGCGCCGGCTTAAATCTTGAAAAATTTAATACAATTTTAAGTGGAACCAACCATATTTGAGCCGCGGCTTAAATTCTTTAAATTCGGCCTCGGGTTCACTTTAAGGTGTCGCTAGTTCTTGAAAACCTACTTATACTTTCTTTAAATTGCAAAGTGTCTGTCCCTATTTAGTTTCCTGGAAAGAAAAAAATGTAAGCCAACCTCCCCCCACCAGATAAATTCCTGAGTACGCCCCTGAATATGAAAGGGATCTAAAATACCCATCCCCCCACCGGAAAAATTCCTGAGAACGCCCCTGAATATGAAAGAGATATAAAGTACTCCCCCCTCCCGGATAAATCCTGAGTTCGCCCCTGAATATGGAAGGGATCTAAAGTACTTACCCCCACTGGATAAATTTCTGAGTACGCCCCTGAATATGGAAGGGATCTAAAGTACTCCTTCCCACTGGATAAATTCCTGATTACGCCCCTGAATATGGAAGGGATTTAAAGTACTCCCCCCCACTGGATAAATTCCTGAGTACGCCCCTGAATATGAAAGGGATCTAAAGTACTCCCTCCCACCGGATAAATTCCTGAGTACGCCCCTAAATATGGAACGGATCTAAAGTACTCCCCCACACTGGATATACAAATGTTTTAGGATTTGATGTATTTTCGTGGTTATCGTTGGACCGGAGTTACAAAGAAGAGAAAAAAGAAAAAGAAAAAACTTTGTTGATATATCATTCTATACCCATCAATTAGTTTCCACACTCCCACTTCATTCCCACTATCTGTTCTGTAAAAACTACATTCCCCCTTTTCCTTCGAAACTTTACACAAATAAATAACTTTTAAAAAAAGAATACAATAATTAGTTGCTTGCCTTACAATTTACGAAGTTCCAAGTAAATATGTAATAAATATTGTGTAAGACTATATCTGTAAACCTGAACTACGTTGTACATTCTTAATTATCATACGTTTGTAAATAGCTACGTAAAACCCATATCATAATTTTTATTCACTGCGCTGTAAATAACTTCATAACATGATTAGCTTAATTACTTTAAATATAACAACGTAAAAGTATTTATACAGAAATTTGTGTCCGCATTGATATGATATTAGTACTAACTGACTAGTTCTTATGCCTTGCTACAACAACCTTAGCTATCAAAATCCAGCTACCAGTACAATGCTCTAAATACCACACAGGGACACAAGCCTAGCTATCAAAAGCTATATATATATATCGATCCCAAATGATGGTGACGATCCAACCTGGTTATATATCAATACAGGGTTTCAGTGCTTCAATGTCATGAAACCAGCCTAGCTATTGGTGTTAATATGGACATTAGCAATCAAATACCAATGTCTCAACTAGGACACGATCTCATCAGCTCTTAATGTCAATACAGACACAAACTAGTAATTTATCAATGCCAAACCAATGGGCATAATCTCGTCAGCTCTTAATGTCAATATAGACACAAACTAGTAATTTATCAATGCCAAACCAATGGGCATAATCTCGTCAGCTCTTAATGTCAATA